AAAAAAAATTGTGCATATATATATATACATACATATATATGTATAATAAACATAGATATTTCATTTATTTTACAGTTAATTGCTCATTTTCCTTTTCAAGAAAAAATTTTTTTTGGTCTTTTTGGACAGGGTCTCCCTCTAGCCCCAGCTGTCCTGGAACTCACTATGTAGAACAGGCTGGCCTTGAACTCACAGAGATCCGCCTGCCTCTGCCTCCCACGTGCTGGGATTAAAGGTGTGTGTCACCACGCCCGGCAAAAATTTTTTTTTTTAAGTGCTAGATACTGAGCCCCAAACCTTCTACATGCTAGGCAAACAATTTGAGCTACATGCCAGTCCAGAAAAAAATATTTCTTTTTTGTTTTTTGTCTTTTTTAGATAGGATCTCCCTGTAGCCCCAGCTGTCCTGGAACTCACTATTTGGCCTTGACCTCACAAAGATCTGCCTGCCTCTGCTTCTCAAGTGCTTGGGACTAAAGGTGTGCACCACCACACCCAGATTCAGAAAAAATATTTCTTAAATGAAACTGTTGATTTTTGAATTTTTCATTCTTTATTTTCTTGGGAATCCATTCTGAAATAACAAAACATACTTCAATACATATTTTATGTACATAAATTTTAGATATATCTAAACATTATGAAAAGTTATATATTACAAAATTTAAAATATGAGAAAATATGTGGGTATATATTTCAATTTTTTTTTAAATGGAGTCTCAAATACGGAGCCTAGACCTGGCCCTGAATTCTCCATCCTTCTTCCTGTGCCTACAGAGAGCTGAGAAAACTGGTGTGATTCCCACGCCTGCTATACTAAAAATCTTATACCACTGAGTAAAATATTCTTTAAGCATCAAAAGTTGTTAAATGGCATGCTATTTTTCCTGAGAATGGGAGAAAGTTCCCAGTTGAATCCCTACCTCAAATTCCTGAGCTTTTGTTTCTGACTCTTCACCATCATTACAGTTGACTCCTAATGGATTGTTACACTGTTCCATGCCGGCTTCATATTCAATTCCATTTTCTCCTATTATTTAATAGCTGAAAAAGTTTAAACATCAGGTCAATCAGAGTGATACACATTTTTATGGGATTTCTCTTAAATACATCTTTCTTCTTCTCTACTATGGTACCTTATATAATTTAGATAAAATAATTTCCATTCTACATTATATGGATAAGTAACATTTTTATTACATGACTTCCCAAGGCACCAGACTGCATTTAAGGCAAATCAAATATTAGCATTATGCAGTTCTCATTCTGTCCTTAGTTACACTATTATATTGGCTAAAAAAACTGTATTTGTGATATAAGGTTCTGCTAAACTCACTACACAATGATTTAATACAAATAAGAGTTTTTAACTTCATAAGTTAGGTACAACCTATACACCATATAATTCTGGAAAAGATGTCTTGATGTTGATGGGATTATGTATTCATGGGAACATGTATCCTTCAGGATATGTTCCAAATACTCTAGTGGATGCCCAAAGATTCAGATAGATAGGATCATGCATGTGGTCGTTTTTCCTATAGCAAATCTTATTATATACTAGGCATTCTAGACTCAGTAAGAGACAAGCAATAACAAAATGAACTAGAACAATTTTAACTATACTATAACAAAAGTTGTTTTTAGAATTTTCCACTTAATATTTTGAGATCATGGTTGATTGTAGGTAACTGAAACCATAAAAACTGAAACTGGGGCCCACAAGATGGCTCAATGGTTAAAGTGCTTGCCACGCAAGCCTGGGAACCTTAGTTTGAGCCTCAGAATCCATATAAATATAGAAGGAGAGAATCAATGCCATAAAATTGTCCTCTGGCTTCTACGTGCACTGATGGCATGTGTGTCCCCCCACAATTATTATAATTTTTTAAAAACTGAAATTTGCAAAGCTGGGAGTGGTAGTATATGCCTTTAATTCCAGAACTTGGGAGGAAGAGGCAGGCAGATCTTTGTGAGTATGAGGTCAGCCTGTTCTACATGGTGAATATGGGTTCACTAAATATATTATATGTTAATATATTTTTTATATATTACATATAATACAAATGTTATATATTCTATAATATTATATATCATACATAAAAATTCAGTCAGGGCTATATTAAGGAAAACTTGTCTCAAAAAAAATGAAAGTGTCAGATAGGGGGAACTACTATACATATATTTTTTATTTTGGTTTTTGCCGGGGCCTGGGGCCAGGGGTGAGGCAGGATGGAGCCTAGAGGAAATGGCCGGGGCATGATCAGACTTGTTTGGCGCCTAGAGGAAACGGCCAGAACATGGCCAGACTTGTTTTGAAGAATCGCTAATTGGCTCCTATCATTTCCCTGCATCTTGGCAGCGCGTGATCACCTCGCAAACTCTATGCTGTGCTATGGAGAGGAGACTGCATGCTCAAGTTCACCTTTAACATGATTGGACTCTTGGTTGGGGAGGGGATTTTCCTTTGTGGTTTTTGCCTTCATAAGCCCTGTAACACCTGTAATAAACGAGTTCCTGCTTGACTGGCTCCCTGTCACATCTGATTGTCTCCCGGGGAGGCTGCGGGTAACAAGTGGACAGCTCACCTCCCTTTCCCAGGCTCCTGTGTTGGGGCAGGATCCCTGACAGGTTTTGTTTTTGAAATAGGGTTTTGTGTAACTCAGGCTGGCCTTGAACTCACTATGCAGTCAACCAAGTATGACTATATATGGTGGTCTGAATGAAAATGTCCCCCATAGGCGCCAAGTGTTTGGACATTTTGTCCCCAGATGATAGAACTGTTTTGGGAAGTTTTAGAAGGTGTGGTTATCCTGGAGGAAGCACATCACTGTGGGTGGGCTTATACAGTTCTTAAGCCTTGCCACATCTCCAGTCCACCCTTGCTTCCTGTGCCTGTGTGATGATGTGAGAGTTTTACTTCTGCTGCTCCTGCTCCAGCCACCTCCAGCTACCATGCCTCCCTGCCATGATGGACTGTAATTCCCCTGGAACAGCAAGCTCAAATAAACTCTTCCTTCCATAAATTGCTTGGGTCAGTGTTTCTATCACAGTGACTAATACACTGTATAAGACCCAACTGCTGAAGATACAATATACTTTGGATGTAGGACATGGAGAAATCAAGTCAGAATAGGCCTGGAAACTTCTTCCCTACTGGCTACTTTTCATAGTGCTGAAAGGTGCCATGCAGGATACTGGGGAAGAAAAGTCATTAATGGACTTAGCCAGCAGTAGACCCTGCATGCTAGAATAATGAACTGCTAGGCAAGATGTGGCACTGGTACAATAGTGGCATGACTGTAACAGGGATAACCAACTGCTTTCTAATTAAAGTGAGGCCAACTATACAGGAGGGAATTCATGTGTGGTACTGTAAACCTAGTCAAAAGCCCATGGTTGGGGAATCAAGGGCACTAAAGAGGGTACCTACTACTATTGTTTTGCTAAATGGGCATGTTGTCAAACTACCTTCTAAATATTTATGTTTACACCACAGATTAGTGCTGCTTTCAACCTTTGTCAGAAAAGCTTTTTTCAGTAGAGAGCAGTCAATGTCATGACTTAACTGGTCAAAGTGTTCAGAATAAGTGACTGCTGAGTGCTCAGCCCTAAATGGGACATTTATATCAATACTCCCACTGCCCCCCACCCAGCTCAGGAAACATCAAGAAAGATGGGGGATATAAGAGCCAGAGGATAGAGAGGAGTTCTGTGAAATGCTGTCTTCTGGATATAGCATGGCAATACTGGATATAATATAGCCATTGCCATCTAGAAGACATAGCAGTATGGTTACCTACATAAGCTCAAGCTAGTCAACATCCCAGTATGGATAGGAGAGGGACTCATGAGGCTCCATCCCTATCGGAGGACCTATCAGCAATAGACTGTTGCTGAGCAAGGAGTAATTTTTCTTTAGGGGTATGGCCACTGGTAGGTTTCTCATGCTCTAGGGGATGGCCTCATACCTATGTGCATGCTTTTGGCCAGCACTAATTGGATGCAGTGGATTATGAAGGCAAGAGTGGGGAGTATTAGAGGTGTCTTGGGGGAGTAGGGGTAGTATTTGGTTGGAATATGACAAAGATATATTGTATACATATTTGAAACTGTCAAAGAATAAATTTTTAAAATTCTAAAAAAAATGACTTTGAACTCCTGATCCTTCTGTTTCTACCTCTCAAGGGCTAGAATGACAGTTGTGATTTTTTTTTTCCTTTGAGATGATGAAGCCCAGGTTGGGTAGATCATTACTATGTATTCAAGGCTATCCTTGAACTCTTGGGGATCCTCCTGCCTTAGCCTCCAAAGTGTTGGGGATTACAGCAGTGAGCCACTATGCTTGGCCATAATTCGCACCATTAACAAAATGCACACCAGCCAGTCTGGTGGTACATGCCTGTAATCTTGGCACTCAGAAGAATCTTCAGCTCAAGGCCAGCCTAGGCTACACAATGAGACCTGTTTCAAAGTCAAAACAAAACATTCATTGAAATGGATGGGTACACACTGAAGGACATTTGAGGATACAAATCTGACTCTATAAGCCTACACACACACACACACACACACACACACACACACACACAATAGAGTACATGAAATTGGGCTGGGGCAGTGAAAAGGGGAGTGCAAATAGGGAAGTGGTCTAAATACAATCAAAATATGTTACAAGGCTGGATGTGGTGGCACATACCTTTAATCCCAGCACTTGTAAGGCAGAGACAGGTGAATCTCTGTGAGATTGAAGCCAGCCTGGTCTACATAGCAAGTTCCAGGATAGCTGCTACATAATGAGATCATGTCTCAAAAGAAAAAAGAGACAGAAAAAAACCACCTCCCATTCTACTTAATATTAGCTTAAAAAACCTGGAAAATGAAAAATTATAAATAACAAAAACTTTGAGCCACTTAGGCCTAGTAGCATGATTTTCACTTGGGATGAGTTTGCAACACAATAAAATCAGTCATATTTTAATATATAGCAATAAAATATCTTTTTAAAAAATGTTTTATTTTTATTTTATGTGTATGTGTGTATTGCCTGCATGTAGGTAAGTGCACCTGTGTCATGTAATGCCTGTGGAGAACATCAGAGGCTTGTCAGATCCCCTGGAAGTGGAGTTATGGACAGTTGTTAGCTGCCATGTGGGTGCTGGGATTTGAACCCAGGTCTTCTGCAAGAACAGTCAGTGTTCTTAACAGCTGAGCCATCTCTCCAGCACCAGCTATAAAATATATTTTCTCATTTAAGATTTTCAACAATTACTACAAAAATTGTTTTGTTACTACAAAAATTCAACAAAACCTAGAACTTACAGTAACAACTAGGATTGTAGATGAGCAATTTTATTTTGTATTTTTCTGTTCTTTTTGAATTTTATGTTATATTTACTTCACAAAAAAATTTTTTTAAAGATGTTTTGAAATCAAGAGAGACTTTAATGGTAACATGGGAGACTAGGAAATTATGTAGTATGAGTCTTTTGCTACAGAACAAAAAGCAGAAAATTGACATAAAACAAAATTTATTTTGTGTCTGGGCTCTGCCAGAAGACATAATAATGAAAGGCTACTGTCCACTCCCATGTTCCCCCAAAAATGAAAAGCAAAAGCTAACAGCGAGTGTTACTAAGAATATTCAGGCTCCCCTGCTTAGGATCATACTGACCGATTGTGATGGGCAGGTGGGTGGGCGGATGGGGTATTCAGGAATGCATTTATGTGAAGGCCCGAGCTCTGATCTGAAGTAAGTTCAGAATAAGTTCTGACCTGAAATAAACTCAGATCTGGACCGGGAAGCCTCAGTTCCCTGAGAACTTGGATGTTCTTCTGCAGTGATTTCTGTCATGAGACTGTTCCTTAAACCCTATTAGACGTACATAAGGAAGCTTGTAAAACAGAGCTGTGTAGCTAATAAAGGTATAAGTAAAGAACAAAATGTTTAATAGGCACGGAAGGACAGGTACGATTCCAAAAAGGGCTGAGCCCTGGGAACATGAAGGTACTGCAAACATCATAAAAGTACTATAAATATCATGATGAGGTAATTTGGCTTGAGAAGAACATTTTCCTTTCCTCTTGTACTATAAGTAAGGTTGATTCTTAGAATAAAGCATGCACTGGTTCACACGCCTCTGCATCCCCTGCGTCCTGATTTCTTCTGCGCCTATACCTCGAGGCCCCCAAGCCCCTCAGGCTTGAATTGTGGTCACTGACCGGTGACACATTTAAATATGGAAGAGACATATTTGTACAGTGAAACTATAATACATTACTAAAAATAAAGATCTAAGGAAGCGGGAAGACAGACTATGCTTGTGGAAAATAATGTTATGATGGCAATATTACCCCAAACAATCTACAGCATAAGTATAATCCCTATCATAATTCCATGCTTCTTGAAGTAATGGAAAAGCCAGTCCTAAAATTCATAGGGAATTTCAAGGGATTCTGAATAACAAAATGATACTTAAAAAGAACAAAACTTGGACTGGAGAGATGGCTCAGAGGTTAAGAACACTGACTGTTCTTGCAGAAGACCTGGGTTCAAATCCCAGCACCCACATGGCAGCTAACAACTGTCTGTAACTCCAGTCCCAGGGGATCCAACAAGCCTCTTCTGTCCTCCGCAGGCATTGCATGACATGGGTGCACTTACCTACATGCAGGCACTACACACATGCACATAAAATAAAAATAATAAATAAAATTTTAAAAAAAAAGAATAAAACCAGAACTTTTACCCTTCCAAATATAAAAGTTTAGTGTAGCCACACAATGGAATACTATTGAGCCATAAAAAGGAATGAGTACCAATACATGCTATATACATGCTAGATTTATGTCCTAGTTTTTTCTTCATTGCTGTGACAAAACACTCTGACCACTACCAACTTGGGGAGGTAAGGGTTTATTTATTATAGGCCATGGAGGAACGTTTCTTACTGGCTTGCTCCCCTGACCCATGCTCAGCCTGCTTTCTTATACAATACAGAAAAACTTGCCCAGGGGTGGCACCACCCACAGTGGCCTGGGCCCTCCCATATCACTCATCAAGAAGATGCCCCTCACATGGCCACAGGCTAGTCCAATAGAGGAAATGCCCCAATTGAGGCTCCCTCAACCCAGGTGTGTCAAGTTAACACTAAAGCTATCCAGCACACTATAAAAGGTCACACATATGGCCAGGCATGGTGGCGCACGCCTTTAATCCCAGCACTCGGGAGGCAGAGGCAGGCAGATCTCTGTGAGTTCAAGTCCAGCCTGGTCTAGTGAGTTCCAGGACAGCTGGGGCTACAGGGAGACCCTGTCTCAAAAAGACCAAAAAAATTTAAAAAAAGGTCACATACATCATCACTTCATTTATATAATATACCTGCTTTTGGTAAATTCATAGAGAGCAGTTTAAGGAAATGCCAGATTTGGAGGGAGAGAGATGAAAATATTTTGAAGCTAGAGAGGCAGCTTCAAACACTGTAAGGTCACACACTGTAAATTATGTCCTAAATGCTACTGTGTTGTTGATTTTAAAATGGTTAATTTACTAGGGTGTAGTGACACATGCCTGTTATCCCAGAAATGGGGAGGCTGAGACACAGGGATGATGAATTTGAGGGCAGGAAATGGACTACATATTCGATGACACTAAGAAATTTTTCTAGGTATGAGAATGATATGGTAATATTAATATTTATGGATAAAACTATAGGATACAATTAATGCCCAGGATTTTTTTAAAAACATTGCTCAAAGTCTAAAAGAAAAGGATACAATTAGGAGGCCTATAAATAAAACAAGATCAGCCTCCTGGTTATAACAATAGTGCTCAAACGTGGCTTTAACAAATCACATGGGCTTTGTGTAACTATTCTACTATGTATTTTGAAATTTCTCTTCAATAACTTGTAAAAATTTGATAGAATTTAGGGCCAAATTGACAAAGTCACTATCATAGTGCAAGACTTCAATATACCTTATCTTGAAGTTAAATCAAACACATGAAATTAAGGAAATATAACCAACCAAACAAACAAAAAACAAAGCAAGCCTGATTTACTGAGTATACTTAAAACCCCATTATCACCCAGGTGTGGCGGTATACACCTGTAATCCCAGTACTTGAAAAGACTAAAGAGGAGAATCAGGAGTTCAAGGCCAGCCTCAACTACATGGTACATAAAGAATTCAAGGCCAGCCTTTGTAGGACAAAGGATCAAGCAGAGAAGTAGTATAAAACTTCAAGCACTAGATGAATCATAAAGAATATACACCTACCAAAACTTACAAATATATCTAAAAGGAAATTTATAGCTTTAAGGTTTAAGACCTCATATTGGAAAACAGATAATAGAAAATTTCACTACACAGGGCAATTAAGTTCAAAAGAGCTATTGTTTATCACAGTGACTATAATGTAAATTTGAAAGTTGCTGAGAGAGATTTTAAGTATTGTTATGACAAAAAGACTGATAAGTTGGGCTAGGCTGTGGCTCAGTGGTAGAGCACTTACTACCAAGCATAAAGCCCTGGTTGTAATCTCAGAATCACATACTCAAAAACAGAACACAAAATAATGAATATGTTAATTAGTTTGATCTAACCATTCTACAATATATATCAAAATATCATGTTCCCTATCATAAATGTATACAATTTTTGTCAGTGAAAAAAAATAAAATATGGGACTGGAGAGATGGCTCAGCCGTTAAGAGCAGTAGCTGCTCTTACAGAGGACCTGGGTTCAATTCCCAGCACCCACATGGCGACTAACAACTGTTCGTAACTCTAGTTCCAGGGGATCTGATGCCCTGTTCTGACCTCCATGGGCATTGCATGACATGGGTGCACTTACATACATGCAAGCAATACACTTATACACATAAAATAAAAATATTTTTTAAAAGAACAAAAATAAATAAAATAAAAACTATGCTGTTATGGAATAGAAAGAAGATAAATATTAGGTAGCTAGTTAAGAAAGTTTAAAAAACGACAAATGCAAACACAAAAGAAATGTATATTAGAGGCTGGAGAGATGGCTCAGCAGTTAAGAACACTGACTGCTCTTGCAGAGGACCAGGGTTCGAGTCCCAGCACCCATATGGCGGCTAGGAACTGTCCTTAACTCCAGTTCCAGGGGAATGCAAAGCCCTCTTCTGACCTCCACAGCATTGCACGACACAGGTGCACTCACA